TCTCTCTCTCTATATATATATATATATATATATATATATATGGAGAGAGAGATGACACCGGGATATTTCACTCCAAAGCGCATTGTTTCCAAAAAATTGCATATTTTAAAACTTAACTTCAAGTTGTAGTGGCATTGAATTATGGACACATTGGCCCCTATCGGACAAAATCATTTTCGGTAAAGTGGATAGTCAACAGTCTAAAACACCACGGGGATTACAGCGGAATACAATGAAAGATGGACACTTAAGTCAAAACACTGCCGTAGCAGCGAGGGAAAATATAAATGCTTTGGGACCATCACCCAATTGGAACACAGAAAAAAACAAGACAAGTTTGTATACCTTATTTCGCACCACAACGAAGATCCAATACAATCCGTGAGAAAACGGCAAGCTCAAAACTAACCAATGCGGACATTCTTCATCAGTTACAGCTCAAACAACCATTATCCATGTAATTTCATGCAGCCGTTTTGGATACTCTGCCCGTTTGAAAGGAGTTGGAGAAGATTGGAATCTGTGTAAACAGATAAATTGAGTGAACTAAGGCAGCAAGGACATTGTGTACATTCACAGACAGCACTGTTTGCAAAAACTCAGTCAGTCATATAAAAAAAATCGTTGTTGAGACGATTCAAACAGTCGAACTTTCTCCACACTAGTCTTATGTGATGTACATCGAATCTCGGGCAAGCTTCGCCACAGTTCCAGAGTAGGATGGAGAACGACCGATTTGGGAATGGACGCTCATCGTTAACAAGACGTTCTGGAATTCTGTACAAGATAAGAGGCCCTAAGGATCTTTCTGTTCATTTTGTTTCCATCCATTGAATGCATAATGAAATAATTTTCGGATGAGCTTCTGGGACCGAACGACTGTTCTACACGATGCGAATCTGTTTCAGTTGTATCTAACTGCCGAATGGGAAACGGTTACACGATACGTTTTTTGCGGCATTATTTTCCATCATATTTTATTTTTACTAAAAGCTATAGAATATAAATTTCTTGTTTGTGCTTTTCGATTGGCAAGTGCAATTATATTCAGAAATGGTTATAGTGTTTACTCCCGAGGTGTGTACAATTTTACGATTAGAGGTACCAAAATTTTGTCGCGGACTGTCTGAATTTACTGTGTACAGACATAAACAATGCAAATGAACGTTGCGACCGACCGTTCTCATTAGGACAGTGAAATTATTTACGATCTATGAACAGAAAGCAGGTCAGTCCTGACCCAAATCAGCAGCCACTGCGGTACATACGTTTTTCACTAGAGAATTACAAACACAGCAAACAAATGGGGCTTGGAATTATGGATTAGAAGTGATCACGTACTACATAAACTCGCTA